GAAGAAGGCCCTCCTCCTCAACCTGCGAGGAAGAGGTTGAGGGTTTAAAACAATTTAAAATAAAAAAAAAAAAAATGTTTAGAAAAGTTTGGTGGAAGGGATAGGGTTACACCCTAAGAAGGAGTAGTTAAAATTGGGACTTGAGAGGTGGACGGGTGATTTATTTTTTAAAAGACAGCTGCCTTAACAAAAGTTCTGAGCCGGCTGGGACCCTTCTGAAGAAAATAAGTCTGGTAGATTTTTAGAGATGCGTGAATCCAATTTGACACAGAGGTTGAAATTGATTTGGGAAATCGAGCTGCTTCGATGCAGATGTCCCAATCAATTCAGGTGGCATCTCCAAGCTGAACCCGATTTCATTTGGATCATTTCAGACCATTCAGACAGCAGGAGTAGAATGTGTCCGAATGGGTCCAGCTGGATTGGGAAGTGTTCGATTCACGGAATCAAATCCATCCATGGATACAATTTGTCAGATGGATGGGATGGTGTTGATCGATCCAGAGCATGGAATATTTGCAAAAGCCGCCTTGATTTTTTGAAGTTCCCGTTCCCCAGTGGAACTCGTGGAGCACCTTCGGCTTGGATGTTCTTTGACCCTCGGGCAATAAATGGATGACTGAATTATAGACAGCAAAAAACTCCCTTCCTTCCTTCTAAGTCTTCCTCTAATAACCCCTATTTATTTTTAAAGTCGGTGATATGAGCATTGAGGTCCAAATTACGGGAAGAAACTTGTAGGATTTTAAGTGTGGTCCCCCCACCCCTACTTTGAGAGTTCCCATGAAAGAATCTTGCTTTCTCCTTCTCGTTGCTCTTCTTCCCTCTCTGCTTTCTTAAATGTTTAAACCCAGTTCCTGCAAAAAGAGCATTGGGGGGCGGGTAGGCACGTGAATCCTCGATACCTTGCACCTTCAAAGGGAGAATGTGGAGGGAGTGTGCTAATGTGCTGACTTGCACCCATGATCAGCGATTAGCCGTTGTGGTCCAACATTTGTGCTTGTTTTCATAGCCCCGCTCAGCATGCCTTCATTTATTTATTTTCCTAGAAAGAAATTGGGGGGGGGGGGCCTGTTCGTGCTGTGGGTTTTTTCGGGCTGCTTCCCCCACTCCATTTGTCATGTCCCAAATGCCGATTCTGCCTTCTGTCACTCTTGCTGTGACGTTGCGTTCTGCTTTCGTTGGCTTATCGTTCCATTTTGTAAATATTTTGTGGAATATTTCGTCCTTGTGATCCGTGACCTTTGAAATATATCCATTTTATTAAAGTTATTATTACTATTATTATTATTATTAATAATATAATGTTTGCTACTACCTGAACTGATAAAGAAGTAAAAAAAAACCAAACCAGAAACAAGCCATGTATGTCTGTTGTCGATCACGGTGTAGAAACAAAGTCTGTAACAGGATGTGGGAGTTTGAACTTGGGGAGTCCTTGCATCCAAAGAAATGATCTTTTGGGACCTCTTGTATGTTAGAGTCATTTTTTTAAAAGGTCAGCCTTGAGAGGCAGCCATGAGAAGAAGCCAACAAAACAGAAAGAGAAAAGAGGGATTGGAATCATGGTCTATTCCTGTTGGTGCGCCATTCCATTAATGGATAGAATTGTCATTCATCTGAAAAGTTTTAGGCTGAGCACTGTAGGGTTCATTGGATTTGGTCTGAGACTTTCAAATCCAACCAAGATGCTGGTCATCCTTTTCACAGCACGTTTCCTTCTAAGATAGGATGTGGCGAATTTTCGCTCTTCCATCAGAGCAGTGTCTATTTTGGGCTCTCAGGCCCTGGGTGGCTACCAGAGGAAATGTTTGGCTGTTCTGGCCAGAACATTTCTCCCATTTGGTGGGGACAAGTGGGGAATTTGCCCTGCTTTGGTGCTAGGTTGGTTATTGGAGGAGATGCTGGTCCACAATGGTGGGAATGGCTCTACAATTTATTTATTTGTTGGGTGAGTTGGTTTCCATCCAGCCTGTCCTTCAGGAACTCAAGGCAGTGAACGTGGTGTTCCCTTCAGCTAATTTTTCCCCTGAACAACAACCCTGTGAAGACAGGAGTGGGAGGAGTTTTCTTGCCAAGAAAACTGCAGGGACTTGTCCAGGCAGTCGCCAGGAATCCACACTGACTCAAAGGCCCAACCCCTTTGTGTTAAGCTTATGTCAATTTCAGCAACTGAGTTTGATCTAAGGTGAAGGCCCCAGGCTAGAAATCAGGAGATGGTGAGTTCTCGTCCTACCTTAGGCATGAAAACTGGCTGGGTGACTTGGGGCCAGTCCCTGTCTCTCAGCCCACCTCACCTCCCAAGGTTGTTGTGGTGGGAAAAATAGGAGAAAGGAATATTAGATATGTTCACCACCTTGAATTGTGTATAAAAATGATAAAGGCAGGATAAAAAAAAAAAATCTAAAAAAAATGTCCCCCAGGGAGGTTCTGTGGCTGAACCACCACCTTTACCACTACCCCACAATGGCTCTTGGGTTGAGACAGAGGGACTGGGTCTCCCCATTCCTTGTCCAGCACTGGATCATCCTGGCTTTTGGGCTGAGAGAGAGGCACTGGCTCAAAGACTCACAAGGAACCTCTGTGTCTAATGATGGACTTGAACCTGGGTCTGTGTAGTCCTCGTCCAGCATCTTCATCGCTACACCACACCGGCTCTTTTTTCGTAATCCATATCAAAGCAATTACTTACCTAAAAACGTATTAGGTTTATTTAAGGTATTGTTTAAATACAGATTTTGAATTTTTCCCCCTTTCCGTCTGCCCCATCGGCTTGCTGCTCTGGTATTTTCTACTGATCCAACTTTGGGGCTTTGACTCCATGCAAGATAAAATCATGGACAATTTGTTGCAATATGGAATATCATTTTAGACTGGCCTTTGAAGCTGCCTTGATTCATGACAACTGCTAGTGAACACCTGGGTACGCCCATTATACTAAACCATAGTTTAAAGATGGTTGAATCAATAAACCAAATTGGGTTGGAATCACACATTGTAAACATGGTTTACAAACTAGAATAGCTGGATATAGACAAGATTAAAACCAAAATAACCACATAGTGGCTTAATGGGCCATGTTGAAGATAGTCTGCAAGCAAAGGGTATGTAGACTGTGGAAATCTCAGGGGCCCATGGGCACAGGATTAAACCCTAGGGTTCTTTAACTTCCATCTTAGTTACAGTGGGATTTCCTTCTCAATATTTGCAGGATTGCATTAGTAAGCCCATGACAATGACAGAATCATGGCCACATTCCCAGAACTACTAAACTTGGTTAGTTTGAACCCTGCTCAGCACCTTTTGGGGATGCATGCTGCAAATGCAACTCATTTGGTCGCATTATGGGTCAATGTCCTGTATGCGCTCAGTAAGTGCATGCTTACTTAATTCAGTAATGAAGTGAACCATGAAGTTGTCAACCAAGATGTTGTGCAGTTCATGGGCTCCATTGATAGGCTTTGCTACAACTCTTAACATTCCTTGCATTCAAGGCTTTTTGAAATGTGATGCTCAGAGATGTCAGCTTGAAAGAAAGGCCCTGTCATAGGGCAACGTCCAGGGATTTCCAGAGAATGACTAAGGAGAACAAGTGTTCCCATTATCTTTCTGGAACATGCATTGAGTTTATCTACTCTATTTCTGCTGCTTCTTGCTCAACCAGTCAGCTGTCCTTCAGTTCTCCTTCCAGAGAGACGCTACATATCAGAGAGGTAAGTCCTCAACCCATTTTCTTTCAATTACACAGCAATTTTCATTTTTTTGTCTCAGGTCAGATTAGTGATCCACTTTGACCATTATTATTTGGGGTGATCATCAGGAACTCTCCAGCCCATTAAATAGAGAAATATCTTTCCAGCTCTGTGAGTCTTTCAATTGGGAGATGCCCAATATTTGAACATTGCACTTTTTCCATGTAAGACTTTGGTTGGGCCACTAACTTAGTGCCCCAAGGATGGACAGTCTTTTGATGTTATATTTAACATTTTTTTCACATGGCCTAGGATGCAGAGGATAAGATGATGTCAGGTAGGCAGATCCATGAATTTCTGGATTTTTTTCTTGTGATTTGTGAGGGAAAAGTTTACAGTTCTTGGCTTTTTCAACTATGTTGAGCCTATTTTAGGGTTTAATTTGAAGGTCTCCAATTTCAAAATGGCAGGAAACGCTACCACCAATGTTCAGCCACTCGTGGTGGTGGTAAGTTCTTGAGTCATTTACGGGCTTTTATGAACGTTGTGCTCTACTTAATGATTTCTGTGTCTTTCAGAGTAGAAGATGAATTCCCTCTGCTGCTTCTTCATTCTCAGCTTGCTCCCTCTTGTCACCCCAGACTGTCCCCGGCCTTGCCGTTGTGCTGCCAACATCATTGACTGCATGTCAACGGATCTCACAGATGACATGATCCCCCTCTCCTTTGCAGCCTCAACCACAAAGCTCCATCTCAACAACAACTATCTCACTTTCATCCCCAAAGGTCTCTTTGACAATTTGCACAATCTTCAGGCTGTTTATCTGCGGGGGAATCCTTGGGAATGTACCTGCAACATTCTGTATCTGCGCTCTTGGCTACAATGGCAAGAGAATCGGACTCTGTATCGTGACGTGGTGTGTTCATCCCCTGCCCACCTTCAAGGCCGGATTATAACCTACCTGTCAGAAGATGAGATCATTTCCACCTGCCAGTCTTGGTACTGCGGTGTGGCTCTGGTGGCACAGATCTGCCTCTTTTTCTTCATCCTGGTTCAGGCCATCTTGCTCCTTCTTGTTGTCTTCTACATCTGCAGGTTCCAGCGGTTAGCCAAGGAAGCCAGAAGGACAATGGCGGAGTTCTATGAGAATGTGGGTCCATGGGAAAGCGCTCGTAAGAACAGTATGGACTGATCGCCATCCTAGAGTAGCTTTTTCCCAAACGCCTTACTTCCTGGAGGACCTTGGAAGTTCTAGGCAGAATTTGGAAGATGTTTGTTTGTTAAAAAGATGCAGCAGCTTCTACACAGAATGTTTGGGATGGATAAACATAATTGTGGAATGACAACATGGTAAAGGTTGGCGTTTGCTGTACCACCATTTGGTACTTGCACTCTCTAGAATTCTCCAATAACTGGAAGAATGGTGTTTGGCCCATGATTGAGTCCTATCGTGCCAAAGGCTGTCTGATGTCTCCTATTATATATAATCCTCCAGTGTTCTTTTACTCTTTTAAGTGCCATGTGACAGCCTGTTGCTTTTTTATTTCAACATATGAATATGGCCCCTCTTCCCTCCAATCTGGATTAGCTTCAGTTACTAGGCAGGTTAAATAGATGACACAGCAGAGAGATCTTATTCTGGGTTCTTTTCAAAATCTATTGTCATGTCAAGCTCCTTGTTCTTTCAGACAACGCAGTGGGGTTGAAAGGACTGGTTTTTGCTCTCCTATTTAACGTGGGAAGGGTTGTGGTTATGTCCAAAAGCTAGGAATTTTAGTTAAGACAAGTTGGTGTTTCTTGTGAACACACATTTGAACTCCCACATCTCTAGGAGAGAGATATCAACCTTTTTCTGACATTAAGATCTTGAGATTAACTCTGACCCTTGGCTTTTGAATGGAGTTGCCAGAAGCAGAAGTAGCAGGGCCCAGGGATGGATGGACAAAGGAAGGAAGGAAGGAAGGAAGGAGGAGAGGGAGAGGGAGAGGGAGAGGGAGGAGAAGGAGAAGGAGAAGGAGAAGGAGAAGGAGAAGGAGAA